TTTCTCTTGGCTGCTGGCAGATAGAATGTTCTTGCCCTTTACTGCCTCTCCCACTTTCAATAAAAGTACTTCCTCTTTCGCTCAATGCAGTGCCCTCTCCCCCATTCAATATTCATGAGTGCCTCGAAGCTCTGTGCTCTGTGCTCTGGTTTTTGATTAAGCTGCGTGAAAATATTTACAATTATGCTTTAAGCTGAATGCGGTTTAAGCCACTTGGCTAATTAAGCCATGTTAATGGCAATAACTGCGTGGAAAAATCAGTGCCGGCTGCCCTGTTAATGCCTTTTGCATTATTGGCCCAGGCACTCGCTGCTGCCGCACGTATACGTAATATTTTCTCTCTGTTTGGTTTTTTTGTGTGTTTGCGGTTGTCCGCACGTGCCTGGGCCTGGGCCCACTATTATATATAAAAGTGTGACATGGTCAAAGGATTTTGGGCGATTTAACTTTGTTTCGCCGATAGACATGACTCTCTGTCTGCTGTGTTTTTGTGTGTGTTTGCGTGTGTGGCACGTGAGTGGCACGTGAGTGCGGTCGCGGCCAAAGCCAATTGCAGTGACATGGATTTTGGTACGCTTCCGCCGCATGCAACGCTTTTGTCATAAACTGCACGCATCATGGAGGCTTAAGCTTAGCCGATTTTGTGATTTGACAGTGGCCACAAGGGGGCAGCAGAGCGCAACAAAAAGTAGACCTAGAGTACAGAAAAAGCAGCAACATATTCAAATCAGTGCTGAGAAATTCTTAATAAAAATCACAAAATTCCTCCTCGAGCTGCCAATAGCCCAACAATTAGTTGCATGATTCCTTATGCTGCTTATGCCAAAGTTTCCTGCGATTAAACATGACAAATGCTGTGTAATTCCCTCTGGCCTATGCTGTGTAATTCCAAGTGTAACTCCTTGCCCTTTGCTGTGTAATTCCTGCTGCAGCCAGCAGGCAAAGGCCAGCCACTTGTATCGTTCAATTGGGGATTGGGGGGAACACAGCTTTTTGGGTGGCACAAAACCAGGCAACAGACAAACAAAAATCAAAGACGGGTGGCGAAAGTGGCGAAAAATATGCCCCAAGGGCATTGGAACTATCACTGTCTGCACTCGGTTCTCTCTCTCACTTTCTCTTTTTTCTGCGCTCTCCTTCTAGCACTGCTTCATTCTATGGCCTTTGCCTTTTGGCGTGTCGTGTGGCGCTTTGTGGCCCATTGAGGCAAATAGTTTCGGTTTAGTCCAATAATGATGCTATTGCAACAGAGAGTTTGCCGCCAGTCCGCCAGTCAGTCCCTTGCCACTGATATGCCCTTCGCTTCTGTGTGTGTGTGTCCGTTTCTTCGTCCACTTTCATTCAATTGACGCTCCTCGAGCTGAAATGCCATAATAAATTCAATTGTGCCTGTGAGACTCTGCCCCGCAGGTCGTCTGTCACTTTTGTGTCGCCACAGATCCGTTTCCAGCATTCCATTTGATCTCCCATCTTTCCTGCACCAAAATCATTTATTATTATTTTGGTCTACCCACATTGTCATAACATTTTCTTGCCTTTTTTGCTCTTCTCGCTGGCAGGAAATTCCCTTTTTTAATTTGCCAATTAATCGAATCAATCGCCTGCACTTCCCCTCGGCCTTTTCTTACTTTAATGCCGCTAATTTATGTGGTCAATTGTTTTTAGTTTTAACGAGCATTCCATGCCATTCCGTTCTCCATTTTTTATGCTGCCGCTTCAATGAATTTCTGGGCCCGGATGCGCCTCTAATTTGGGGGTTTTCTTTTTATGGGTTTCTTGTAATTTGGGCGGAGAAATGATGCCAAGTAACGTTTGAAATGCCGACATTGGTACGCTCTTGTGGGGCTGATTATAGGGGGAAAAGAGAGGGAGTTAATGTCTGGCATTGAACGCTGCTAATCTGGGAGAAAAGTTCTATCGAAAATGTTGCATCTATGATAAAAGTGAAAGAAGGCGCAGACAAGTCAAAAATTACTATAATTTAATCGAAATATACTCGGAAACTACGGCGAATTTACACCGAATTTACTCCGAATGTACTCCGAAATTACTCCGAATTTACTTCGAGCATACTCCGAAATTACTCGAAATCCACTCGGAATTTACGCGAAAACTACTAAGAATTAACTCCGAAATGACTCCGAATCTACTCCGAACTTACTCGAAATGCCCTGCGAACCTACCACTCCGAATCTACTCAATATCTACTTCGCAACTACTCCGAATCCACTCGACATCCACTCATCTCCTACTGCTGCCAAAGCAACTTTCACTTGCTCAACAAATTGCAGATTTGCTGTCGCATTTGATGCCCCAGAGTGAGATACACTAAGCAAATACTGCCATGACTTAAAGCTGACCTAATGAATGTTGATTGCAGACACAGCAGGGCACACAGGCACAGGCACAGGCACAGGCAGGACATGGTTCAGGGTCTAGGCTGCACCCTCAATTAGAGCATAAATATCAAATATTACGTATATGCATACTCCTGGCACTTCGCATAGTCAAACATTAAGGGCAAAACTAATGGATTCATTTATGGATATTGCTGGGTAAACGCTCGATGCAAAAATACTCATAGTTTGGCTACAATATACGAGCAGATGAAGCCATCTTGAGGAGGAGGAGATGCAGACCCAGACCCAGACCCGGAACCGAAAGCTGCCTAAAGTTCTGCATTGTACATGAAATTGTTATAAAGAGCTAACCGGATATTTTGGGAATTTTTAATTAATTCGTCTGCCCTCGAACCGTGCTACCTATACACATCCTGAGCAGTCATGTCCGGTGGCAAGGACTTGCCTTGTCCTGCCTTGTTGTAGGGCAACTTGCATGTCATGCATGCGTGTGTGTGCGTTCAATTTGCAGTTGTATTGCTGTTGTCAAAGAGCGAGTGCGAGCAGAGAGCTCTGCAGCAATTTTCGGCAATTGCTATCCTGACTAAGGACACACTATTGCTGGTGCGCTCCTTCCCCTTGCTCATCCTTGCTCTACCGTTTGCCTCTTCATCGCCATCTCCTGCTGCTCCTTTGTTGTTGCTCATTCATTGTGCAAAGTTTGTATAAATTTTTGATTTCTTTACACAAAATGCTGTGCATGTCTCTCTCGCTGCTGTCTGTCTGTCTGTCTGTCTGTGATGTCCTGCTGTTCCTGCTGCAGAGCAAGACTTCCTCGTCCTTGTACTCATTCTGGCATCGCATCGTTGCCGCCGTCACACAACACAAATGCCATTGATTGAGTCACATCGCCTGGGCATATAAATCTCCACTGATGGGGTGTGGCACGCTTGCCTGCTGTCAGAATATTTCTGGCTTGCCTACCTTAAAGTTTTTCGCCGTGCTGCCATGCCTCAGCGGAGCCACCCAGACTGAGGCAAGGAGTCGCAGTCGCAGTCAGAGTCTGTGGCGTTTGGCGTAACTTGCCCGATGATTTCGTTATTGTTCGATTGACAATAAAAAATCAACTGAAAGTTGCAAAAAAGGCACAAAACTGTCATTGAATTTGCAGACATACAGCAGCGAAATGAATACTTCGATGAGAGGTCAGAGAACATGGTCCTGGAGCCGAGGCAAAATGTAAGCATATAAAAATAAGTCGCTTGGGGGGCTTCTCCTCTTGCCATTTTTCGGACAAAAGCTTTCCGAATTTGTATGCAAAAATGCAATAAGCGAGTGCAGCTTAAATAAAATGCATTTCAATGATTGCATTTTGGATTAAAACAACAACAACAGCAGCAACAACCATTTCTACATACATATTTATTAAAAAGTTGTTCAACTCCTTTTTTTCTGCTCTTCTTTTGTTGTTGCTTAAGTTGTAGAATTTGCTGGCAAATGGCACTGACAGACATTGCCTCTCAGTTTGCGTCCAAGTTTAGGTTTAATGAAGTGCAAACAGAAATATTTTCAATTAGAGGAAAGGATAACCGGTGAAAGCACCAGCAGCAGCAGCAAAAACCGACACTGAAACAATGTAGAAAAAAAGGGTAAAAGTCGACAAGAGCAGCGCAGGTGAGTGGCATGCAAATGCAGCTTGCCACACTTTCTCTTGCCACACACACACACAGGCACAGGCACACTCACACCCAACAGACAAAAGCCGAAGTGCACTCACGCAAAGCTAGAAGCTCGAGTTTGCTGTCGGCTTTAGGTTGGCTTCTTTTTCCGTTTCCCGTTTGCTATCAGCCTTCAGGTGGAGCTTACACAGCCACCTAAAAGTGTCTTGCTGGCAGCTACTGAGATCTGCGATCCTACTTGATCACTTGGCCTCACTTTGCCAGCATTGAATGTCACACAACATCATGGAATATCTCTGGGATAGGACATTGCCAAGCGTCACTGATTTGTTTTACATTTTTCAGACTAAAGCTTCCTCAATGTTTCCCACAAATTGTTGTAAGGATATCTTAACGATAGGGCTTCGGGGCTTCAGCACGTGCGTGATTTATGCTCAAGTCTTTGTGTTTCATTGTCCCCCTGATTGCTCTCCGTGTGGGGCTCGGCGGCCTCGACTAAACATTCAATAAATAAGGCGACAAAAATTATGATTCGTTGATATTTTTACGACGGCGACGTGCGCATTTAAAAGTGTTTTTGATTTGTTGCCATCGCCGTTGGCGGCACATTAAATTTATATGCCAACATTTCACGCTCTTCTAATTTATGTGGCTAAAAGTTGATGTTGCAAGTCGTCGTTCTGCCACCCAACAACTTTATTATTATGCTGCTGCCCAGGCCCTCCACCATCCGCCGGCTGCCTCAACAAAACACTTGGGTGATGACATTTTTATGTCTGCTATCAAAAACAAAAAGCGCTACACACAAAATAGATTTGTCCTTAAGGAAACGAAAGTGAAACTACAGAGGAAGGAAGGAAATCTGTAAAATCTAAAGCCCATTATCATTTGCAGATCCACTCAATGATTGATGACTATTGTTACGACAAATGAATTAGATGTGTTATCTGAAAAAGAATCACTATACTTTTTTTTGTTTAAGTTTAAATTTAAATCAAATTTTTATTATCATATTCCAATTGAAGAGAATCAAATCAGCCTTATTCGAATTGGCGGATTTAGATGCCCCGTTTAGATGCCCGAATCCCAGTGCTTGGTCCACTTGATGGGCTCCAGAGTTCCCAAGTCCAATTTCCAGAGGGCCCCATTCTGGTTCATCTCAATGGCCTTGACAAAGTTCTTGGCACACTGCTGAGTGGTCTGGGTGGGATGCTCCAGCAGCTTCTCCGCCACTTTGGGCTCCACATCCAGCCACGAGTTGAATTTCTGCACCAGAGTGGTCTTGGTGATGCCAGGATTCACAGTGTATGCGGTGACTCCAGTGATGGGTGCAAGCTTCGCCAGGGAGCTGGTGAAGTTAACCACCGCCGCCTTGCTGCCAGAGTAAACGGGCACCTGGTAGATGGCATTGAAACCGGTAACGGAGCCAATGTTGCAAATGATGCCACCTGGGCCGCACTTCCGCTTGTCCCAGAACTCCATCATGGCTGTGGTGGTGTTGACCAAGCCAGTGTAGTTAACGGCAATGGTACGCTCGATGGCATGATCGTCCAGGATGCCAGCACCGTTGATCAGGACATCGACGGTCTTGATCTGGGAAAAGATGCACTTCAGGAGTTCGGTGGTCTCTGCGAGAGGTACAGTCACATCATAAGGGAAGACGGTGACCTTCACCTTGGGATTGATCTTCTTCAGTTCGGCAACGGCATCTGTATTGTCAATGCGATCCAGGATGACGAGGTTCTTCAGATCCCGCTTAAGCAACTCCCGGCTGGTGTCCAGGCCAATGCATCCCAGACCAGCCACGAAAACAACATTCTTGTTTGTGAGTGACAATTTGGAGTTTTGCTTTTGTCCCTGGCACTCCTTCGAAGTGCTGTAGCGGCGCGGGCATTCCTGCATCAAGCTGCTGATCTTCTTTCCGTCGACCTCCAGCGTGTTGCCCTCCAGGGAGCTCTGCCTGTTGTAAATGCCATGAGTGGAGTACTTGGGAACCATTAAGGGGTCATTGATGGCCAGCATCTGCACATCCTTGCGCGACAGACATTTGCGCAGAACCACGCGACCGATGCGCCCAAAGCCATTGATTCCGAGTCCCAACATGTTTTTCGGTTGTTCGCAATATAAACAGTGAAAATTTTAAATATTCAGTTCAATTGTTGTTCAGAGAGTATTTGTTTTTTTTTGATTTTAAATTAATAGCTAAATTTTTAAAATTTTTTTTTTTGAATTTGTTGAATATTAGAGAAAATAATTTTACTGAAAATTTTTGAACTCAAAAAGAGTTGTTTGCCGAACGAACACCAGAAATAGAATGAGAGTATTTGTTTCGACTGAAAGGAACAACCTGCCAAGCAATGTCAAAGGCCCAAACGAATGACATTTGAGTCTCGGTTCGCTGAAGCTCGAAATAGATTCTGTTTTGGTAAAACAAAGGATGCTTTTGGCCTTACAAAGTTCTTGTTCGTCATTTGCTAGCTTTTGGGTCTGTTAGCGGCTTGAATTTGCTGTTTCGGGACAAAATTTCGCATCTTTTCCACTCAGATCACCACCGATGGGCTAATGCAAAGTTTTTCAGCAGTTTTAGATGTCGTATAGCCATTTTCAGTTAGCTACACAATAATATTTAACATTTCTAGAGATTGTTTCTTCAGGCTCTTAAAAATATAAACTAACGAAAAGTGCATAATGCTAGTTTTTTTTAATTTTTTATTTTTCACTATTTAAAAGCTTCACAGTTGTATTTTTCTGGTATGCCCATTTGTTAAAGGGATTGATATCTGCAAAAAAATTGGTTATGCGTTTAGAAGTTATGGTCGACGAAAGTCAGTTATTGTGAACTTGTACTAATCATTGCTCCCCACTGTACATCCATATGTACACCCACATGTAAAGAGTAAAGACAACAAAAACAGCCGCCCAGAAAAATAGATTCACAAACCAAGCACCCACCTACATACATGCATACATACATTCACATACGCAAGCATTTGTGGGAGAACAAAATAATCTACACTGGTTTCTTAACTCTTCCATCTCTTACCTTTTGCCATTTTCTGCATTTGCTGTTCTCTTCCTCACAAGAACAACCTTCGTTTTTGCGCTGCTTCCTCTCCCATCTAACTGCTCCATTCAGCCAACCCAACAGCAAAACACTTTCCCCTTCTCGCCATTCACCGTTGCTTTAAAAAGTGGTCACTAGCGCAAACGTTCGCTCTCTTGGAGTAGGAGGGGAAACACAAAAGACAAAATACAATGAGAGGGCAATTGGGAAGCGCAGCAGAAGAAGAGCATGGAAACTAAGTCTCCTACGCATTCAAATCAGCGAACCTTAGCTTCTCGAACATTCCATGATGTTACTTTCAATATTCTCATTATGATCTCCTCAGCTTCCCCCATCTTCCACACATGCCAACACAGCAGTACTTCCCCGTTCTCTGCATTCATCGTTGCATTAACAGCGCAAAACATTTGCTGCTTGGAGTAGAAGAGTGAGAACAAGGTTGAGAGAAAGAGAGCATGAAATGTTCTAAGCATGAAGCAATTATATAAGGAGGGTTCTTCGGTCCCGTAGTGGTCTACTATGTTATGTTGCTTGTAAGTGAGAGTGAAAGGGTTTGCATCAACAAGCGAGCACGCACTGAAAAGTAATAGACCGAACGACACCCGAGCGGACCACCTCTTATAGTTGCTTCATGGTTCATAGTCGCCTACGCATTAATTTCTGCGCCGCTCTTTTCAATTTTTCGGACGGACAAAGCGCGCGTTTTTAGGTCAGCTCCGCGTTGCGGGTCGCGAAAATCGGGAAATGGATGAAAAATCCTACGGGGAAATTGTCGCGAAGTGTTTTGGTGAAGTGAAAAGTGCAGTGAGTGGTGCAGTGTAGTGGGGCAGAAAGCGGCCTAAAAATTGGAAGCTAGTTGCTGATCCAGAGAAGCAGCATCCATCGTCAAATTGGCATACAGAGCGGCAGAGGAAAATTGGGCAATAAGTGAAATTGAAAAGTGTATAGTGCATTTAATGTACACAAGTGTATAATGTGTATATTCCATGTAAACATTTTTTTTTTTCGTTCGATCATGTGATCTCTTGCAATTTGTGTTCGTGTGCTTGTGTGTGCAAAAAATTCGGCTCAGAGTTGTGTCCCACTCCAATACCCAATATGAAGAGGAGAAGAAAGAAGAAGAGTAAAGCAATAAGAAAAGAGCGAGCTCAGCGTGGCGACGCTCTCTCTCGTGCCAAGTGTCTCAGTGCATGGTGAGGTGATCTCACTCTCTCTCGTTGGTGTTTTCCCACGAAATCCAGTGCTGTTATGCCTCACCCTATATTAATCTACCCAAAATATGTGCTCCAATTGAAGTGTGCTTGGAATTATTGCAATTCCTTTGGTTGTGCCGTTGCGTTTTCGTTTTCGTAATCGTTTCGCAAATCCGTTTTTTCGTCGCGTGATGACGTGGTCTAACGATCTGTTTACCCCTCCCACGCAACCACGAAATCTCATGTGTAAGAGAGAGAAACAGCAAATGCAAAAAGGAAATGGCATAACATTATTTGCCCAAAAGGTATGAGAGAACTTCAACTTGCTTTTGTTGTTAAAGTATCCTAATCAATTTGTAAATAAAACCAGAGCTGTCTTAGTTCTGCAACAAATTTAAATAAACCTGTTAAAACATTTGGCGTTTTAATGTGTTTTATTTAAATATGGATGACTAGACTTCATTTAGTTGAGACAATGTCAGCAAAGAATGACAAAAGTTAAAGTATATTTATAAAGTTACAAATTTGTGGTGCGTAGGGAAACGGTTTGTGGATATCCCTTGAAGATTTTGAAAGACTACGGGCTGGCCTCTGGCTGTGTTCAGTTCACATTTAAGGAATAACATTTAATATGTTAAAATTACAAAAAGGCAACCATTCAGGAATCCCAATAAAACTCAGTTTAACTTTCTCATTTTGCTCTCTCTGCCCCTCACTCACCCTTCGTGTGGAGTGGCTCCCACTCAGTCCAACATACCTCACATGCACTCGGTACTCTCGAGCAACAACAATTTGGAGGAGTTTTCAACTTTTAGTTCGTTATTGCCGACAATGTTCCCCTGGTTCCCCCCACGTTCCCTTAAATGTAATTTTTTCGTTTTTTTGTTGGGCGCTTTCTGCCCCTCCAGCACACACACTGACTGGCTCGGTAGTTGTTGTCAGAGTCGCAGCCATAGACATGTAGCCATAATGCTTACATGAGCGAAAGCACAGGGGAAAAAAATATATGTATACACAAAAATTTGCATGAAATCGCTTAAGTGCTTTTCCCATAACTTTACAAGGTAAGAGCCCAGGGAGAGAGTTACAAGCCTGTTGCGAACTTTTTCATAAAAAGCAGAAACAACGGAAAATTGTGTGTATATTTAAATAAGTAAATGTTGTGCACACACACATGTGACGGTGACGGGCAATAAATACAGCAAATTAAACGGAATCCCACAAATTGAACCACCCACAAGGATTGACACTCATTTGCAGTGCAATTATCGCTTGGGTGAAAAAAAACTTCCGCATTTGGAAGGGGTGTCCATTCATTCATGTCCCCCAAAACCGCCTTGAGCTGTTGAGACACGACACTGAATCAAACTTAGAATACGCAGAATTTGCTCCTCTTCCTCTGACAATGTGCTTCCGTGTAGTAGCCTCAGCTTCAGCTTCAGCTTCAGTTTCAGTTTCTTTTTTTTTTTTTTTGAGACTTGCCATCTATCCCGGAGGCAGCCATCTATCTATCTGTGTGTTCTATCCTAACGTAACTGAAAGCAGCTGCCACAGTTCTTCCGTTAGCATTCTCTTCATTTGCTTTTGCCTGGCTCCTTTCTGCCGTGTTGCATTGTCCGGGTAGCTGCAGGCGCCATGTGTTTTGTAATTTCCTGTTGGCTCTCTCGCTCGCTCTACCTACCTCTTGGATTGTTGCTACGTTGATAGCCCATTCCATTCCAATGCCAGTGCATTGACCGATGGCTGACGACCCACTGACACAAACTAATCCCTCACTCGGTCAGCACTCCTGACTGGCGAATACTGAATAGAGCGAGACCTATATCCATAGATAAATGTATGTAGAATAGAGAGAATGTGTGCTGTGCTGTGCCATTGTAAATTAATTTCGTAAAAACAATTAAAATTTGACAAAAATGCAATGGAATGAGAATGTGCGACCGGCCGCAAACGAATGGAAAAACTCAAATGAAATTTAATTAGTGCCAAATGTGGAAATATATTTCGCTAATGACATACAGCCAACCAATTTACTTGCGGCTCAGCGACTCTAACGTTCTCTCTCTCTCTCTGTGTGTCACATTCAGCTGCAATTATTCTGTTTTCTGCTCGAATTGCAATCCTGAATCCCACTATCATTGCCCCCTATCAATTTAATTCATTGCGTTTTTCTGTTCATTCATTTGTTTATCACACAAACAGCTTTTTGGCAGTCAATGGGCTTGCTGCTTGTTGCTTTTCATCGATTTTTATTGGCATATAATCAGCATGCAAATTTGCATTATCCAACTTTCTGGCAACGTGCCACGCCCTCCACGCCTTATGCTTCACACAAAGCGATAAACATTTATCTTCATTATCAAATTTGCGGCCATCCCTACCCCCTACCTTCCTACTCATCTTCGAGCTGTTGGGTTTTCTTTTCTGCCATCTTGTCGACCGCCTCCGTCATCATCAGCATCATCGTTGGCAGCTTAATGAAAAACTTTTTGCCTCTCGCGCATAACCCTTTTTAATTTTTATTAAGCACAAAATTGCCTGTCGGCAAAGGTCCCAGGTCCAGGTCCAAGGCAAGCGAAAAGTAGCATAAAAATAACAACAGGCCAAGGCCCACTGGCCCTTTGGCTTTACAGACTTTCAGGGCGCTATTTTTTCTGCTGTGGAGAGAGTCTGTGGAATACTCTGATTTTTTTTGCTTAAAATCTGTAAATCTTGAAACCTTGTAGAAGCCTCAGAGATGATTCCTCTTGCAGATACCTCAATCTTTGACATTATTTTAATCATTTAAAATTCGATAAATACTTTTCTCACAGCTGCAGCGCGCTCAGATTTCTGCTAGGCCTGGCACTCCATAAAATCTC